GTTGGAGCTGAGGTGGACCATGCAAACATGTCGGACTGACAGCACTCGTTCTGTCAAAGCAACCCTGCCCTGAGTTACCGATAACCTTCAAACTTACAGTTTATACAGGCGAGGTGTATAAATATTCACCCTCCGCACGGTCGGCATAAATGGGGAAATTAGCCAGAGAGACCAAAACTGTTTTTGGTACCAGCCTGTGACCATGTTTGTAGAGGGGTTCAGAGGTAAAGCGGGCCAAACCACAAAACATCCAAAGTTGAGCTTGATGTGTTTCTGATCAGTGTTTCTGGTCGACGAGTTGGTGTCAAAGTGCTCCAACCAACAGCCTACGAGTGATGTCATGATGCCACTTTTAACTTTGGCCCATGATGGTTCTGGCGTGAAAATTTAGCAGCAAACTGGAGCAAGACACAGGAACCGCTGACCGTTGTATCGCAGGTAGTTCAATGCAAGATGGCGGACAGCGCGACTTCAAGCCTTGTGAAAACTCAACTGGTAGGTACGGTGGTAAGGTGAAACAAAACCTTGGACATTTTAACATAGAGGCCTACGACTGACTTGTTTTTGGAGACAGCCTCAAGTGGACATCTGAGGAACTGCATTTTTTGTCTGGTTGGTTGAATTGTGGCGGCTGCTGCTCGACCGTACGGCGCCTTGCTTTGAGTTTTAGGAATAAGAATGAAGCTGGATGCACAGCAGCAACCTACAAGATCAATTTGTATTTTACCTGTTTAAAAAAAAACAGGGTTTTACTTTTGGATTGTGCTCGCAGAGGTCTACCGCTCAATTACGCTGATAAACCGAGCTCCTGTTTGTGCTGTTTGTCTCCGGCTGCAGGGCTGCCTTTCTGTTTAGATTCAGATTAATGATGGAGCCTGTTGGGAGAGTTTATCTGGAGTACCTGCGTAATGTCCAGCTTTTACCAAGGGAAGCGTTGTCGGGACTGTCTGATGAATGTTTGCTATCTCCCCTGCACACACACACACACACACACACACACACATATGCATACACATCCACTCAAACGCTGCCTCACACAGGAGTCCATTGTCTCAGCCCCTTCTGAGATGCTGGTTAGGCATAGCAATGAGATGTTCAGCCGGCGGAAGTAAGAAAGAGGCACATTCATCACTGGCTGCGAGTATCAGTTAGCGCGCACATCAACGGCGGCGCGGCGTGCGTTGCAAATGAATGAGTTGCTCAGTTCGATATTCCATTCATATGTTATCGTCCCG